GAATACAGACAGAAAACAAGTCCGTAAGGTTTTTTAAAGTATCGTACTTTAAGGGAATGAGTTGTCTCGTTTCTCGCGTTCGCTCATTTGTTTTGGCCCTCACAAGTGACGTACCGAGCTGTTTCTGGTTTTACTACCATAGAGCAGTGGTGCTTAACACCGACAGGTATGTCGATACTACGATACCACTAAGGAGGACGAATAAAATCCACCCAGTTCAGTACACCATATCGTTTGTTCGTTTGGAACGAGACAACGTAAACCTTCGGTAACCTAGTTTTTTCATGCTCCCTTTTCGTCGTAATTTGTTCCAGCTAAAAAACGATAAAGATCTGGATCGGTTTCAAACTTTCTGTGATGGCCCACTGTTCGTGAAAGTTGCTGCACTACTTCGACAAACATTTGGCATAGATCTGTTCGGATTCGATGTAATACGACTGACAAAGGGTGAGTCGTCTGTGGAACGAACGGGACCTGAGTGGGCGATCGTCGATCTCAACTACTTCCCAAGTAAGATTTGTCCTTTAACTAATCGGCAACTGCTTGATCTTGTTTGTGTGATGTCAGTAGAGGGTATTGTGTCAGAACACCATCGGGTTAATCTCTGTCTCCCCCATCCGGTTGCCCATTGTCAAAGGATGTACAAAAGGCAGTCTGGTATACAGTTTTAGATAATTTCACCAGAATGATGTCCTCAGTGTGGGTGTTTGAACGAACCATTTTTTAGACGAACATCCTAATCTACTTGTTAGATCCTAATCCTCCAACTCTCATGTCGTAAGCTTGGTTGAACAATTTTGGGAAGTCGAGAGGGGTCAACTGTTGTTTCCAGTTTGACTCAGTAAAATCGAAGAGTAGATTCTGCGAGATATTTCTATTTCCGTGAAATCTCATGCTCCCTCTTCTACTATACGTCTATTCTGGCATATCAGGCTACGACAAAATCCCGCATTTCTATCACCACTTGGAAAATCTGGTGCGCGAAAAGTTGTCACTCCCTCTGTTACCGGATCCGCCTTCCGAGGACTGCTAATATGGTTCCATCCGTGTCTCATTTATCATTGCCGATCTCCGACACTTTGATTCAGATTGCTCTCGTTTTTCGTACTTTTTGATATTTTGTCAGTGAGACGCTGTATAATACATTGTTTTTTATCCCAACATCCCGGACACAATGAGTTTCCTTCATAGAATGATCTACACGGGGAGGGGAACGATTTCCTTTGATGCCACTTTATTGCGATATCCGCCACAAGAGATCATTCGGCCAACGATCAACCCATGCAGACAGCGGACTTGTTAGCCAGTTTGTCGGAGCAGACAGTAACAATACCGCGGTCATAATTGACCGGACAGAATTGGTGATAGCCTTGAGGCATATGATGGGCTTCACTCAAATGGAAGCATTGAGTAGCTAAAGCATTCCCTTCTGTCATTTCTCGCTAATCCAGTACCGATGGACGGAATGGGCTACGATGGTAAATATGTCCTTGTTTTTAGGGCCCTCTTTCCGAGACAAGCAGCAAAATCCAACTGCCCACCACTCACATGCCAGTACCCGGTAATCCAATAACCTAGGTCCTGTTCACTTTCTATTGCCATACCCACCCAAGCAGCTCTGAGCAAGTGATGGGGATACCGGACAGTGATCGAGAGACAAGAGGTCGAATATCAAATTTGGTTATTTTTAGTGCCTTGCTTGAAATTTGACGGTAATATCACCTAGGATTTATCGTATTCCCTCTGCTTATCAACTTATTCCTACTAGCTCAGTAGTACAGCCTTTCGGCTGCGCGCGTCCCTCGTGAGCGTTGGGCCATTTATCCATTCATAGTGGGACTATCGTACCAGTCTGGTCGGATCCTGTTGGTCTGCCAAAGGTTATGATGTGATAGGAAAGAGGGAAATACTCAATATTGAGCACAAATGCACCACTTCAGCTTATTGGCTATCGATCCAACAAATCAAGATCGAGCTGGTCGACTTTAGTCGAACTTTTCAGTTGTGAATATTCGCACACTTTGTCATGTCTGAACAAGACAATTCAACAAAGTTCACAACTCACCGAATAATGAAGCAAGCCACCTTGGGTAGGTCCGTGAGTGTTTTCGCTTTGTTCGTGATAACAGAGTAAATCTCCATTAGGGAGGAATCCCTACAGAAAATATTTTGGCGGGTGTCGTGTACGAGGGTGAGTCACTGTACTACTCAACGGGATGTTCGTGTCAACGTTAGCAATCAATGCATGGCGAGATCATACGACCTTGTTTTTGACCTCAGAGTGCAAACCACTAGTTTTGGTTAGAGGTTACACCACTTCATTTGGGTCATAAACAGGACAACGAATTCCTCATGATCGTGATCCATCCCCTTACTGTCAAATCAGAAAATGGAGCTGATTCTTAATGAACTAAATTTGAGATTAAGAGCGACTATTAGTAGACTTTGGACATCTGGGGAACATTTATCTCTATCTGCTGGCTCGACACGAGCTACTTAATAAGTATGAAATTAGAATTAAGCGACTCCTAGGGGTCAGCTGGCATCACACTGTACAATTGATGCAAGTCACCTTTAGAGGTGAAGTTCGGTAGTCTGATTCACAATTGGGATGCAGTTGTATGTAGGTGACTTATACATTTTTTTGTTTCAGGTGCAACTGATGTTCATTGGCGGAGCAGATTTAACATGCTTGCCTAGCGCGGCATGTATTTGTAACTTTGCTAATAGAAGCGAATCTGGAGTCCCATTCTCATCTACTTCGACTTTATCGAACGGCCATCCAATGAACTGGAGTAGCCTGTTCGTTGGTTGTTTATCCTACGCATCCCTCAACCTTGTGTCACTCCAGACACATAAGTAAGGGACGAAACTAGTTCCCGATATCAGCGCCGGGTAGCTATTCTGACAGTACAGTTCGTACGTAGTCATCTGAATAACCCGCTTACTACCTCCGCTGATCAATGATTCCGGTCATCGTCGCTTTTTCGATAAGTTCACAATTCTCGGATCGGAAAGACTTCACTTGAACACAATATACCAATGTGCTTATCGACAACGTAACTCCCATTCATTTTGTTTGACTCAACTTTGAGATCGCTCGACCGCCTAAAGCATTTCACCGTTATTAGATCGGTAAAATGGACTTGGAGAGATCAGCCGTGCGGCCTGAGGATGGCTGAACCGCTGACCACATCTGTATAGCTGGCTAAGTTGATTCATGTGATATCTTCTTCTGAATAACTGACGGCCTTCCCAAGTAATTTGTCAACTTTTAAATTGTGATATCATTTATATAATCTAGTCATCGGTGCCCGGCATGTAGCCGGGCAGTCACTAGATCAAAAATTCGAATTTGGACTGGTTCTCTTTTGAGGGAGATATACTCGGTCCCCAAACGTCCATCCAATTAGCGGTGCTGCTACGCGTTTCCTCACTACCCTGTCGTTACTGGTCACAACTAAAGTTGGCCTGCCGAATTAAATTGTAGCCGATTCACTCGCGACGTTGCCTGGGTGTCGTGAGGACCTAATCTAGTCCAAGTATATTTTATGGATCCCGTGTCGTTGCCAACTACTGAATGGAAACCAACCAAAAGAAGTAAGTCACTTGGAGGGGTGTATATGATAGGATCCGGCGGTTAATTGTGGGACAGTTCTCATCTGAGTGTAACATCCTGAAAGCATAGGAATGGGTAAGCGTGGAGGAACCCGATGCAGCTTTTTCTGTGCCAGATATAATAGAGTTCGGTCTACTTGATGTGCAGCTGCGAATTTGATATCGTAATTACGCCTGCCTCCTTAGGTTGCTGTGCCTCAGCGAAGGGTATAGCCAGAACAGACATTACACTGAGGGCTTTTCTGTGGTGTTTTGGTATTTCGTAAAAGAGTAGTCCGAATTCCAGGCTTATCTCTGTATACTAGTCCGTGGAAGCAATAGCAAATGACGGTGGCAGTCATTCGTGTAACTTTGGACATGGGCTTTGAACACCTACACCCGAGCCCAACCCAAAGAATCGTAGCTAAGGCATGGAAGTTTGCCACTGCACAACCCCAATCAGATGCGTAGTATTTGTATGCTTTTCGACCACATTGGGCGGAGCGCCGTAGTCATTGTCGGCATTTAGACGACCGGACTATGGTTTTTATGTCCGGCCATCTCTCAACCATTCTTCTCCAGGAAAGGCAACATAAATATGGAGATGCTGGTCCACAGTGAGACTTGCGACTTCACCCCGAGATCCGCCGGAATTAGGACTGCTCCTAATACGAGGTCCAGCTGACTATCCTGGAGGAACGGATCTACAGCCGTTGTGGCCTTCAGGACCACTGAATCAGTGAAATCGGACCACCTGGAAAAGTTGACAGTTTATGGATTGGAATAGGTCTTCGCTATATTTTAGCTCTTTGATACAATATGACAGTATATTGTGATATATGAAACCAGTTAATGCAGCTACATTATTTGATCTCCAATAGGAATAGCCGTGTGTATGAAGTTTCATGGTATCTAAACTCTCAGGTTTGTCTTCCGCTACTTGAAAACTTTGAAATCAGTTACCTTAGTTCGGGTTTTTAATCCGGGTTCATAATCCCTGGTCAGCTCAATGTTCCAAATTAAGGCAGTGAACACTCATATGAAACAAGCGAATCTCAGGCATGTTAGAGTACAGTGGCAACCTTATTGCGAGTTTCAACTTATTGTGACTTGGCTGGGCTGTCAATAACTGTCAGACAACGAATCGGTAAGAATTGTTGGTAACAGTATTATATTTGTGGGGCACAGAGAACACCCTATTTACTGGCTTAGTAATTTCTGTGGCAATGAATATGGCGGAAGTATAGTTATGCAGTGATGAAGAGTGCGATGGAAGTCACGGAAACGCAGAAACACCATTCTATCTGAAAAATGAATTTCGTTATTCGGGACTCCATACGTCTACAGCGGGTCCATGTAGTTTAGTTGATCTCTACATTGTTGCATTCAGACGCAGATTAATTGGAAAAATATAGAGAATCGAAAATAATCATGTTACTTATCGCTGTTTATTCAATGAGTTACACGATCAACTCAGAACTTGCATATTCATCGTATTCCTCGCACGGCAATTCGCCACGTTTCATGCACCACTCTAGGGAGTAGAGCACCAGTCGTACCGTTCAAAACGGTCCCCTACAGCTGAGAGTTCTTTCGAAATTGAATTTGTTTTCCTCAACCACAAGCAAAGCTGAAAGCTCTTAGCTGTGTAGTGAAGATGATGGTTCTACCATACTGTCAAAGTTGAGCCCCGTGTACCCTTTGATTGACGGATGCCAACTTATTTGCCACGTTAGCAGTCTTCCTGACTAAGCCACCATCTCCAATTTAGGCGGGCGGACACGTGCGAAGGTTCTACGAAACTATTTGTCACAGGTTATCGTCATGTTGTGTGTACGATAGTTCAAGTCTATGCTCCGGTCTTCGAAATCTCATACTATCTGAGCCGCCGAAATCTGTCCCCGTAATTTTCCATAATTTTTAGTGTTCACCATAAGCTTTATGAGTAGTGCGGAGGTTCAAAGAAAATGAACCATCTAGACTACTGTCAGAAAACTCATTATTAATGGTCTACCAATGGGTTAAAATAGTGGGCTATAAAGTTTCATATTCATCAAAACTCTCGTAACGTACAACCAGCTTTATACAAGGTTGCTATCTATGGGACTCTTGACAAGGATCGGCACCAAAGTATTTCGGAGGGTAAACTGAACTTTCATGAACCACGGTGATCGCGTGCCATGATTAGGTTTTTGTGCATAGTTAATTTGTGCTTCTGGTCATGCATATTTTTATACTGATGTGGGAACTCAATGACCTCGGTTACGACACTAAAAGTGCCTGCATAATGACGATGGCGCACTTTTGTGTGCGTATGCACTTTCCCGGATCAGCTCTTTTTGATTGTCGTATGATCCCCTAAGACGGAAAAAACAAGTGGAAGTAAACACGTTACTCCATGAAACGGTAGTTTTTCCTATTTCTGTTTGTACACTGCCTCAAAAAAACCTTGCCGTTTGACGAAAAGCTTTTGTGGCATAGAATATTCGCCCTGCAAATACTTCTGGGCGAAGCAGAATAAAAGAAAGCCCATGGGGCAAGATTTCTAACGGCCTACTTTCAAGACAGCATCAGATTTACTGCTTTGAATCGCACGGTTTCGCGCTGCACCTTCCCAACATAGTATGTAGCATGTCGCGGAACATGCCACATAGTTACACTACGGATCGAAGGTGACAGAGTTTGAGTGTGTGGCGAAACAAAAATTCTCCAGCATAACGCACTGGCGTGCACAGGAAACCATTGTTGTGCAGCATTCCTAGAGCAAACAGGTGGTTCATTCGCATCCACTCAAAAGTGAATGCAAGTAATCTACGTGCACCTGTGTGTGTCAACTCTGCACACAGAAGCTCTGTATCTATAATCTTCTAGGGAGTACCGATACCCTGTCAACTGAGGTCTCACCTATCTATTCTGGAATTTTAGTTCTATAGTTGAAAGTACAATTATCGACTGAGCAAGAGCTCATGTCATACGGTGCGATATGTTGTAGGAACGGAAAGAGGGAGCCCGAAAAATGCATTTCCTGGGGTAAAACAATCTCTCATATGACAGATTCTTCTGTAGCTTGCATTACGTCCGAAGTATAGGTCCACAGTCGTATATCAAGTTTGTTTCCCGATGGCCTATTCTAGACCTATATACGAGAGGCTGGGATGCCCCTTTCACCTCCATTTGTGATAGATTCAAGTTGGAAAGGGGGATTAAATGCTGCTTGTATTTACTCGTCTAACTATAGTCATCCCAAACTTTCTTCCAACGCTCCTATGGGGTGTTTTGACATCCAGTC